GTGTGTTGGGGGGGAGATACGTTAGTCAGGCAAGGAGATCGCATTGCAGCAGTGCAAAAAAAAAAAAGACTTTACGACAGCTCCCTTCTTTTGAAAATGAGATGGAATAATCAGCTCCTTTCCTTTGAGCTTGTTTGGCATTAACCTACTTTAAGAGGCTCAGCTGCTCCTAATCTAAGTCATGTAAAAAATGGAACTGAAATGTTTTTTAGTTTGAAGTCTTCTTTATTACACATTCTCCTTCAGGACTGGAAAAAGGACCTCACAGAGATATGCATTGTTTTCAAGGAGTTTTTGAACTGCCAGTATCCAGAATGACTCCAAAACACCCTGAAAAAAAATAATTCATTGAACAAGCCGCTTATTCCCCTCAACTTCATGAAGAAATAGTGCAGGAATGTTTAGCTGCCAGAAGGGCTGCTTTTATGATCTAAAGTTTTAGAAAGACATCAGGACATTGTGTGTAGTTTAGTTTGTTTTTGTCATGCCCCTGGCTTTTAAAATGCTTTACTTAGCAGAAGCAGTTACTTCAAATGACCTTTGACCTCTTCCAAGACAAACTAAGCTGCTCAAAGATTGTCAAGATAAACTTTCACCCACTGATAAGCAAGTAGAGCAGAGTTTCAGTTTATCTTGCCTGCACATTCAAAGTGAGACCTCTTCTGAACAGGTGCCAGCAGAAATGTTCCACCCTGGCAACCAGATTCGAACTGCAATTTATACGTGCCATTGTTTGCTATCATAAAAGATAAAAGAAAGATTGTGCAAAATATGAAACTGCGATATGTTGTATAAATTACTTTATACCCTTAGTCTCAACAAAAATCCATACAAACTTAAAATCTCAGATTTAGAATCTCAAATTTGTAGCCTCAAAATCTCAGTTTAGAAACGACAGAGATGTATAGTAAAAAGAAAAGTGATTAAAAGTTTGCATTTTACTTTAGTTTACGTAAAAAGCAAATACAGTAATCCTAATATAAACTTGTAATACCACACAATATAAAACTTTTTAATTACTCTCAGCTGGGTTTGGGAAGAAAGAGATGTCTCCTGACAGAATGCTGATACATAAAACAATCATTTCTTTCAGTGAGCACTGTGCAGCACGCTGTATTAGTTCTGTCTGGGTGTTTGCTGTCTCAGCTGTCTCCCCTCTCCCGGTCTCTATGAATCTGTAGCGAATGCTGCTGCACATTTGGAAAGTCTGCACCCAATTATCCTGCTTTGTGGCTGAAACACATGGCTGTTGGCCAAAACCATTACAAAAGATTAGCTGCCCTTCTCTCTTCTCTGGCTCTTTGAACTCATTTAGGGCACGGAAATGAAGTGCTTTTCAATTTGTAAACTAACACAATGGGAAGCCTGGACACTTACATAAGATGAAAAGTCTTTAAAAGTGCTCTTTTGTGACCGACTTTGGATATAAAAGTGACATTATTGTAGCCCACTAGGCATTTCAATCTAAAATGTTGGGCTGAAGGAAACATTCAGAACCAGCCACACATACTATATAGAACCTCCTTAACATTGTATCTGTTGAGTTACATGGTACAGCATTAAAATGCCTTTTATCTCGCAGGTCACAATCTTTGAAAGTGTCTCCAACAGTTGCACAGCAGTTTTAAGGGGAACTGCTGTCCCAATTTCTCAGACTGGTTATTAAATTCCAGTAACAAAGTAAATTCATTGACACTATTGCAAACTTTTACCAATTCCAAATTTAGCACAAAATCTTGACCTTTGTGAAAGTACTGTATAGTCACCATGTTGCTGCAAACTGCTGGTCTCACCACGAACAAGAGCGAGAGTCCACGGGTATTGTGACTTAAACCAGCCCTTCCTGCTCACTATTCACTGTAAAGACTCATGTAATGTATGAATGAATAAGTACAGGTCGTGCAGCAGTTATTTCACCACAGAAATGTTCCAAAGTGATCTGGAGGCAGAGTTAAGAAGTAAATAGTATTTGTCGGCAAAACTGTCTCAAAGTCTAGAGCACTGTTTCAATTGGATTAAAAGAGATATATGCACAAGTCTGCTTGTTTACAATGTAAAAGGCCACTTCACCTCACAGGACGTTTTGTTGCCTGCTGTGGCGCTGCGCATACCTAGAAATGCACTTTATTTTGTGATTTAAATTGGAGGTTTTACAGGTTGCTGTGTACGTTTTACTTTTATTGCGGTTAGAAATGCACTCATCGATGCTGATTCTTCTGAAATATAAAAATATAAAAATAGTGTTGCAGTTCCCCATTAAACCGATTGGGTTTAATTATTTAATATTATATAAATTATCTGCAGGGTCAGTCATGTCCCTGACCCACCCTCCTCTTTCTATCTGACAAATTACCTTTAGTTTCCAGGAATGTCCTTGAAGGAAGAACTAAAAGCGAAGTTTCACAATGAATGGGTTACTGGAGGGCCTGCTATTTATATCCTGTCATTACATTTCAGACTCTAAAATATAGTGAGACTACATTCGCCTTCGAATGAGCAGTGTATTTTCTGGTAAGAAAATCTACTTGAAGCAACAGATGACTCATTGGTGAAAGGCTCACCTGTCAGAGTGGCGCTTAACAGACTCTAGTGTTCATGTACGGACTGTGGCACTACAACCCTTGGGCTTACAACCTGGGCTTTGCTTTAAAGTGGTTTAAAATGCAAATGAGGGCTCAAGACATTTCTGCTCTTTGTTTAGACTGAATTTGCTTCAATTCAGCATCTTTCTAAGATCTTCACTGGTTGATGATTTCCTTCATTTTGTTAAAATATTGTGAACTTCATGCTGGTCTTTGAGACACTCAGTTGAGGTTCAGGGCTCGTGCTTGACTCAGTAATGGAGGAAATGAAAGTCGACAGGTCTTGGAAAGCTGACTTTTCAATTTGTCACGTTCGTACTCTTTCAGATGTACTTTGTAAAATAAAACAATTAAGACAATTTGGGAAATTTGATAAAAAACCCATGGTCACAACAGTGACTGTGAAGATCGCTCAAAAGGGATTAATTCACCCTTGGCACAGCTCTCTGGAGAACCCCAGGAGGAGATGGAGACTATAATTGGGGTATCAGGAGGAAACCAATTAAAACAGCTTCCTCCTTGAAACCACCTCCAGGACTCGGAGCTGGCTGTCACCCTCAATGATGAAGGGGCATGTCGGGAAGGAGAAGGAAAAAAAAAAGGGTTTCCAACACGTTGAAAAGTGTGTTAAGACAAAAGAAAGCCTGGGCTCGTTAATGGCGTAGTTGTAGTGTATCCCATTTTTGTCTGAGGGGATACAGTGAAGCTCATTCATTCAGGCTTGGTTTCTGGAGGGTGAAAACCCGAGCCTGTAAAATTGTACTTGTTTTTTTTTCCCCTGTAACAGCCATTGAACATCACCTGAGCACTGCTTACTTTGCACTTCGTAGCACAGTAGTTCTTGGCAGCACAGGGGCTGCATTGGTTTTTTTACCATTTCAGCTTAAACTTACCAAACCTCAGCCTGCACCTGTTGGGGGTTTACTGTCTTTCACTGCTACTGCTATTGTGTACTCTTACGATCTTCACAACCCAAGAAATTCTTGTTGTTAAGAAATACAGCTGTATAACAACAACAACAACAAATCCCTTCTTTCTTCTTACTGGGAAGGAGGAAGACAATAGAGGTTTAAGGAAAAGCTAAACAAGTTGGAATGGACACGAGGCGTGACTCTGGTGTAAGATCACTTTATTAGCCCTATACAATTTCTTGCATTAGGAATTCGTCTTTTTCGCATACCCCAGCTTGCTCTCCATGAGACACACAGACAGGGAGAGAAGCCTGGGGTCGGAGCGCAGGGTCAGCCCTTGTACAGCACCCCTGGAGCAGCTGGGGTTAAGGGCCTTGCTCAGGAGCCCAACGGAGTAGGATTCGTCTGTCGGCCGCGGGATTTGAACAGGCAAGCTTCCACCCACAGGCGCAGATCCTGAGCCACAGAGCCTTGCTTTAGGGGGCGGGGCGGTGGCTCTGTGGCTAAGGCTCTGCGCCTGTGGGCGGCAGCTTGCCTGTTCAAATTTTATTTGGTGTACAATGACCTCTGGGGTGCTCTCTGGACTTTGTGCTTGCAACAGCACTCTTAGGGAAGCTTGGCTGTAGGAGCTGCGTCAGAGGAAAGTCAACCACCATATGTGCAATGGCTGCAAAGCCCCCAAACAGGAGGCAAATCCGCAGTGTGAGCAGACCTGTCAGCTCCCTTTAAAGAATCTGATAGTAATGCAGATTAGCAATTCGCTGCCATGTGACTATGACACTGAGTGTGCCAGTCCCACCCAAGAGGCAGGCCAGTTTGCAAACACCAGCAGGGCTTAATATTAAATTACAAACTTACTGTTCCAACTACACCCATATGCAGTTTACCCATAATGTTATCAATATACTGTACCTATAAAATCACATGGTCTTATTGCCACCCTGTACAGCATTCCTGAAAATTGATATGCTGTTAAATATTAAGCGACAGAGTCGAATGTCCTTAGATTTTCTTTTGAGTGTTCTTTGGACTGGGTTGAGTTTGACATGGTAGCGTGTCAATAATCCCTTTAAGGATTTTGAGCACCTAAATCAAATCTCCCCAAAGTCGTTCCAAGCTCATGAGATTAAGTTCTTTCAACTTGGGCTCTGCGGCTGAGAATTGGCATCATCCTGGTCACATCTTTGATTCTGTTCCAGAGAAGCTGCTCAGAATAAGTCCAGAACTGACAGATATTATTATTTTGGTCACGATGTGTCTTTGCACACGATAATCTATTATTGACAAATGGTAACATCTGGTATCTGTAATAGAGAAAATCAAGGATGAATTTAATTAAAATAGACTGCTTCCTTTCAGCAATTAATAGAATGTTTGCAAATTAAGGCATGGTTTAACAAGGACTTAATATTTTACCGTTATTTCAGTTTTTTTGTCAATCAGCATGTTCCATTGTTACAAAGCAAGGATAGTTTATCAAGTGACAAAAACACCCAATGAACCTTAAAACATTGGATCGTGATGTCAAGTTTATTCAATCATAGCCAGCCCTATAACCACTTTCTTACCACATCAGAGCAGAAAGGAAAATCCCGTAAGGCTGGGAGTAAGATTTGGGTTATGGAAGAAGCACTTGAGCATGTTGGAATGAACTTGGGTTTACAGCAGCAGAGCCAAAGAATCTCACAACCCGAAGGATCAAGCAGCAGAAGCTCTACCTTATGTTTCCAAACATAAGCTGAACAGCTCATGATTAAAAACCAAACCTGTTACACTCAAGTGCCAGCCAAGTCTCTCCTGCACGGCGTCCTGCGCATTGCTGGTTACACTCGAAGAAATCCATTGAAATGCATTAAACTCAAAGACAGTTCATTACTGTAAGAGCTCCCAGGATTAATAACACGCTTCGCCCTTATAGATAACTAAAGCCAACTGCTGCAGAACCATCCCATGATTTACCCATTTTACAAGGACTCATATTGACTCAAAAGAAAGGATCAGTCTCTCTAGCGCAAGTCCGGGCATTTAGAATAACAAGCTTTTGCAAACGTGCTTGGTCATATGGGGTTTGTCCGATTTTCTAGGGCACAGTCCTGCTTAGCATGTAAAGCAAAATGGTATCTTCCCTGAGGTAGAGACTTGTATAATAAGCTTGGTGCAGAGTCAACAACACCAAGATAACTTTTCTCCAGGCATCTGGAGAAACATTTCCTTGCGCGTTGTTGACGCGGTTTTTCCCCAAGTAGACAGTGGCAGTTGTTTAGGATCTGTCATCTGCATTTTCCGAAGACGCCTGCTAACCAATCATCAATCGAGCTTCTTCCCATCTGCATGAACAGATCACAGAAAATGGCCCAGAAACGTCAAGTCTGGAGAGTATTGCAGTAACAAAGTTATTCCCCGACATCTCTTTGTATTAAAACTATTGCTGAGCTGACTTACACATTTCACTTCCAACTACACTTTTGCAAATAGCTTTCTGCATGTTTCATGTAAGGAGCACAAGAGTGGGTGTTTGCATTATGAGACACCTATTATAGTTGCCTCTACATAAATCTTTTTTATGTCCTGGATAATCTACAGATTCCAGGAAGCTTTGAACTCAGGTGCCTGTGATATGCTCAGCAAGAGCCATGTCAGTCCTAACTGCTTTCCGAGTTCCCCTGCAGCTGTTTATTTGATCCTGATTTACAGCGACAACCAGGAGACCCATTTACACAGAATCTAACCCAGTTCTCCATACGGCTGCTTGATACCACAAACACATGTGAGATAGCTTGGAGAAAGTATTGTCCATTCTCCAGTTAAGCTTATACAGACCTCCCAATATCCACAGGTAGCATTGTACATCATATCAATGTTTGCTACCAAACTGTCACCTATGGATATCTGGACCTCATTTCTATATATGGATATGTTGGACCTCATTTCTATAGTTTTTCCCTGTGTAGACATTCCTATAGCAGACCATGTACAAATTACAAGAACGCGATACAATTGAGTAGATCTAAGCATGTAGCGGCGAAAGACAACCACCTGATTCATTTCCAGTTTTATTAAGCTGCAGGTTCCTATGCAAACAGGAGCTGGGTAACTCCAGCCTCTTTTTTTTTTAATATATGGACATTAGGTGTGGAGTTCAAACAATTCTAAACGTACTGATTGTATGTTTCATTGTTACAATTTGAGCCTACAAAACACACAAACCCAGTTCTAGAAATGACAGGCTTGTCTGCTACAGTACATGGTGGAAACAAAACTGAAATTATTTGAGTAAAAGTAAATGAACATTTCCACAATCATTTTCTCTCAGCTGCAATGATCACACGCTTTTAAAACACAGGCTTGTTTCGGGACTGTTTTTCCTCCTGTGTCAAGGAGGGTTTTGTGCACATATACCCACACTTGGCAAGTCAGGGTAACTAAAGCCATTGTGTATCTGCCAGAAATGCTAATTAAACTATACCAACACCACAAGCCATCTACTCTCACAATTGGGTCACTACAGCTTAGTTGGTACACACTCTTAAGGATTTTTCTCCTAGTCACTGCAACTAATTTTCAGACAAACTCCAGAACAGTCTGAGGGGGCATTTCCCCCAGCGTCGGCCTTTACGAACCTCTTTAATTAGGTTGTGAGGTGAGAAAACATAACCACGCCCTAAAGAATTGACCGTTTATTTTCCACCAGCTGAAACGTTAGAGCACAGCTACAATGGATTACACCTGGAAATGAAATACATTCAGAAAAGAAGTATTACTTTTTGGAGTCGCATCTCATTCATTAGAATAAACTGGAACCTGTTTGGAAATATTACCAAGATTCACCCCTCTGCCAGTTATGTGACTGGTTAGTGATATGAAAACAAGTTAGTTCTTTGGATTAACATCTGGCCCTCATTATATACATCTAAATCATTAATATAGAAACATTAACTGATAAATAACTTATCACTATGAGCTTATAAGTTCCCACTAACCTAAACAGTTAAGAGGCATTTGAAGAAAGGTGAATGCTTTGAAAAGGCCATTTCTGCACTTTTGAAAAACAAACATGGTGGATAAGCAGGCCCGTTCTCCGTGGATGAGAAAACCTTTGTCGAAATACGAAATAAAATGACAGAAAGCATCATCTTCCTCAATGCTGCAATCAAAAGGTTTCCAGTTTTTTTTTTTTTAATAGTGGTATTAACCTACTACAGGGGTGTCCAACCTTGGTCCTGTACTGTCTGCAGGCTTTCATTCCAACTCGGCTCTTAATGAGCAAAACCAGCTGGTTACCTGCTTAACCAGACCAGTTTAAAAGAGCAGGTGCTTCAGCGTCAAACAGAGCTGACATACTGCTGCTCCAGTACGAGACTGGACCCCCGCAATTTACCAGCGAAAGGCAGTTTCATGCTTGTCACAATCTCACCAACACCTGCCAGCAGCAAGTGCTGGAAAACAATGGTCAGCAGTCTATTCTGGTTAATAATTGTCAATTTATTCCCAGTACTGCATCAGTTTCAAGGCAGGTTTAAAGGGGGAATGAAAAAAGGTTCATAGATTTTTCCACTTTGCCTTCAGCCACTCGACAGAACACAGTAGCCACACATACGCCTTCACTATTAACAGCCTCTGTCCCAGCAGAATCGCAAGACAACTCTGACAAAGGTGTTCTAGGTAGTTTGTCTAGTAGTGATTGAGGGCAAAGAACCGTTACAAAAAAGCACCAAGTGTCTGTGACCCCTACTACCTGAGAAGCAGTTCGATTCGTCCAGTTAAGATGACAATTCACAAGCATAAAAAAAAAGACTGCAAGATGTTGGGCGCCCTTGCTGAAGTGTCTGACAAGGCTGCAAACTAAACGTAGTGGTTAAAAAGCCGAGCCGTCTTCACGCTCACTTGTTTAAAAACTTCAGCCAAATAAAACTAGACTCTGGCTTCTTTCAGGAAACAGCTGGATGAGATCCTTGGTCCTGCTAGCAACCAAACAAACTAGATGGGCCAAGTGGCCTCCACTCTTATAACTTAATCATGTTTAAACAATATGAAAGGAAACACTGTTTGCAGTGCATTTGTTTTACTTTTATGGACTGGAAACAGCCTTGCACTGCGGTTTACAACAGGCACTACTTGAAATGGGCGAGGAGATTAACCTGTTCTGCAGAGTAACAGGCTAGACCTACTAATCCTTTTTTTTGAAAGCAGCAAATTTCAGGCTCCCACCCCCCCCCCCCCCCCCCCCCAATGGTTTTAAAAGAAGTGTTGCGACAGTGGGCCGAAAACAAAGTTCAGCAATGTTCTTCAGACCCGGCTTCTTTTTTCTTTCTCTCCACGCAGCACAGAAACCTCAGCAGGGGGGGGCTGGCTTTGTGCTTGAGGGTCTAATAAACTTAAAACAGGCAGCAATCAGGTGGCTGGTTAGGCTCTCTGATCAAGAAGGAAACAGCTGGCAGCAGTTACTCCAACAGCTCCCCCAGGACCGCGATGTGAAGAGGAACGCCGGGGACTGTCCCTCGTCTGCACAGGGGCTGCTGTCCTCACAGCGGGACCTCTGGCCAGGCCGCCACCCTGTCCGCAGTCTGAGCTAATGTAGCCCCGACACCCCCTTGCGCCGCAAGCCCCCCGTCTCCGGCCACTATACGAAACAGCAGTACTTCTTCCACCAGGACTTGGAGAGCTTCTTCATCTTGTCGGGAGTTCGCTTTTTTATCCTCTTCTGCTGCTGGCTGTTGGCGTGCTGGATGCTGGCCACGATGGCGGCGTCGAACACCTCCTTCAGGTTTTTCTGCGTCAGGGCCGAGCACTCCATGTAGCACACGGCCTTGATGTCCTGGCCGCAGGTGCGGGCCGCCTCCTCGTCCACGGGCTTCTCCCTGTACTTGGCCAGCTCGATGAGCACCTTGACGTCCTCGCGCAGGTCGCACTGCGTGCCCACCAGCAGCAGTGGCGCCCTGGGGCAGTGGCAGCGGATCTCCGGCACCCACTTCTCCGTCACGTTCTGGAAGGACGAGGGGCTGACGACGCTGAAGCACAGCAGGAAGACGTCGGCGTTGGTGTAGCACAGGGGCCGGAGCTTGTCGAATTCGTCCTGCAGAGGAACACACACACACACACACAATGTGCAACTGGTGACAAACCGCCCGGGAAGGACACAAGAGGACGCCCCCTGGAACCCCTGGGAGACACAGACTCCGAAACCGGAATTCACCTCTCCTGCTGCTGCCCTCAAGGCATCACACCCTTCAAACGGTCGGAAGGAGAGCAGGATTTCAAAAATTAAGGAAAAACTTTTGTCTTAGTTGTGTCCGTTCTCGTCTAAATGACATCACAACTCACTTATATTTGGAATCTAAAAGGTTTTGCTTCCAAAAAGCTATAATAAGACTTACAGGTATGAGCTTCGAACTGCTATAGCAGTTTTCCCTTTAGTATGGAATTTTTATCTCATTATATAGACTTCCCTTTGCTTTGAATAGGTGATTCACGCAATATTCCAGCTGTATTTTGACACTTTCGACAGCACACCCACCCCTCTCTAATGCAGCTCTAGCCATCACCATGGCTACAGAGGTCAAGCTGTGTAAATACAGTCCTGTATCAGCTTTCTCCAACTTCCTGATAACTCCGAATTGTTTTTTAACTCTGGAATCTGTGTGTGTTTTTTTCCATTTATTATTTCCTATAGTGCAAAACAACTGCAGAGGACTACATGCAATTAAAGAGAATGTGCGTTATAAATATCAAACTGGTATCAAATGAGACAGAGAGCCTAGGAGTTCCTGACAGTTCGTATCTGCAGGGAAATGAGAGAGAGCCTGAAATTCTGGGCACTCGCTCAAAAAGCACCGTACCAGTACGAATTCTACTAAAGCATACAGTACTCCAGTCTGAACTGGCCTTCTCTGTTACAGCCCACCCTTAAGTGTTAAAATAACGTAGCGGAAACTGGAGTGAGAGAGGAAAACATGTCATTTTAATAAATATTAATGGGTCAATAAAGAGCAATCACTTAACTTAATCAGCTACACTCACGAAATTCATAATTAAAACATGATTTTTAAATTAATGTTTCTACACTATAGTGTATGCTTATTTGTACTGTGAATTACTTTGTGATGATTGCTTTTTAAGCGGCTATATATAATAATATTTTATAAGGTAGATTATTAAACCTAGAATTTAAAAAATAAAGAAGCTGATCATTATGTCCTGTGGCTCACTGACAGCAGTTCCTCTAAGGTACAATTAAACATCGCTTTAAAGGGGGTCAGAGATCAGCGAGCTGATCTTACTCCAGGGGTTGTGTACTACTGAGTGTGGGGCCACAGTCTGATTTTAAACTTCCAACTTCCATAGAAGTCCTGGCATCCGTGCCCAAAGGCTGGAGAATTCAACATGGAACCCAAATTCTCAACCACTGCAGGTCTGGCAACAACTCTGTGCTTCTGGAAACAATGCAAAGTCTGCACTGTTTGGTGCAGAGAAGACAGTGCAACAGCTCTTGTATGTGGCGAAAAAATGCTTAACTACACCCGAATCACTACCAAGGCACCCAGCCATGCTGTTGAAGCAAATTACCTGGTTGCTCTCAAGAAATGGCTGGATGATATTCTGGGATCCTGTGAGCAACCACATGAACTAGATTGTCCCCTCAAATCTACATTCAAATAACTTTACTGCCTTGACCAACAAATGACAGTGTGGGCAATGCAATGGCAGCAAACGGGTGCTTTTCTGAAGCACTTAAGCCTGAGAAGTTGAAAAGACAGAGAAATAAGTGGACTACAGCAGCAAACTGGAGACGCAGGCTGTCAAGAGTGCAAACAGCAACCGGTGCACTAATAAGCATTTCATTTCTAATTTGTAGACGCTTTCATTGCAAATCAGACTAATTCATTTTCCTCACTTAGAGGCTGGTTGCATGCTGCTCTAAGAATTGTATCTAGCCATTTCCCGAAGGAAAAACAGATCCAGCAATGTGGACTCCTGGTTTGTCCCAGGTGATCTCTGCTCCTTGCCGAAAGAGGAGGCTCCTGCATCCTACATGGACCTGCTCTTAGCTTCCATTTGTTGCTCCAGTTTTATGGCGGAGCGATGGCACTGTGGCTCAGGATCTGTGCCTGTGGCTGGATGTGGATTTGCCAGTTCAAATCCCCCAGCCGGCAGAGGAATCCTACTCCGTTGGGCCCCTGAGCAAGGCCCTTAACCCCAGCTGCTCCAGGGGTGCCGTGTAAATGGCTGACCCTGCACTCTGACCCCAAGCTTCTCTCTCCCTGGCTGTCTGTCTCATGGAGAGCAAGCTGGGGTCTGCGAAAAGACAAATTCCTAATACAAGAAATTCTACATGGCCAAATAAAGTGATCTGATCTCTCTTATCTTGGATCCCGTCCTCTCATAACGTTACTAAACGGCACCTCCATGTGAATGACATTGAACACCTCGGGTGGGAAGAGAAAAGCCCCTGATCCCCAAACAAAGAGGTCCTTTAGGTGAAATGCTGAGCTATTAAACAAGCCGGTCCCGTCCTACGACTCACACTCAGCACAAGGCAGTTCCACTGCATTAACAGGATAAAACGCAGACTCAAGCAGGGAAGCTGTCTTTTTACATCTCATTAACGAACACCAAGGACGTTAATTAGCATGGTTAACAGCAATTTAGCACTGCGCTGCCCATGTGGGACCGTATTTGCTAAATTAAACCGTTATTGCAGAGCCCTGCTGTGCTAAACGGATGAAAAGGCCCCACCTCCACAATTACTTGGGATGACAACTTTTCAGGAACATCCCTCTTTCTCCACTCATTCAAGCAACTATACATTATGCTGCCATGAGAAGTGACATGAACATATATATTCTATCTAGACCCAAACTAGCTCTTAATCTATTCCTGTTACCATCTTTAGAAGCCGACATTCTTTTGAGCACTGGATAAGAATTTCATGTGAAGTGGTTCCCCGTGTGAAACAGGTGTGACCCACACCAGACTTCCCGACCTGCTGGAAGGTCTGGAGACTGAAATGTTGATTTAGTCAGGGTGAGGAGGAGTGCAGTACCATTCTTCATTAAACAAGCCCTTGCATCTACGTGTTTTGAAAAGATCTTAAAGGACACTTCAGATTTGTTTCACACAGCTGCTATACTAAGCGATACTGAAATGTGGATCAGGCAGCTTTGTGCAAAATTACTTGTGCAGACCCCATTTGCATTTTTAAAAGCTGAAATACAATTTCAGAGATTAGCTGAAATCAGGTTGTTCTCTGAAAAGGGCTGAATCCACAGTTATCAGAGAGAGAGCAGCTGAAATCAGGTTGTTCTCTGAAAAGGGCTGAATCCACAGTTAGCAGAAAGAGACCAGCTGAAATCGTCTCACTGACCTGGCCTGCGGTGTCACAGAGCTGCAGTTTCACTGGTTTGCCATCAACAGCCACGACCGCTGCAGGGAGGAAAACAGGAAAATCACAGGGTGAGAGAGAACATTTTTTCAGGAGTAATATCACAGATCTCTCCCCAGTTTCATTCATCACTCTAATTAAAATCTCTTTTATTGACCCTGGGGACGCGCTCACATGCGATCTCCCCAGAGCTGAAGGCGTTTTTTATTCAAATTCTGTGTTAAACGTAAGAAATGTGCCCTTAGAATTGGTCTGTGTAATGCGTGTATTTGATTATAACAACTACAACAAGAATTATTATTATTGCCTTCATTTAGGGGTTTAACTCAGCTCCTGATTCAAATGCTTTAAAGACTCATGAGCTCGAAATGACGCACGATTCTGAAAATTCTTCCAGTTACAACAAATCAAAAGAAACACATTCTTAGCCACTTCTTTAAATTACTTAAAAGGTTTTACAAACAGACAAGCTTTTCTGAAAAATGTCCTAAAGGGTATTATCTACAATATGAAGCAGTGGGAGAGAGCTATCATTGATTGGCCCGTCTTAATTATAATAAACGCAGCGTTATAGTTAAGCAGCGAAAAGATTAGGTTTGTTACTGAATAGCTGGGGATCAGTCAAGCTACTTATTTCTCTGGAGACATCTTACGCAATAACGGATCCCACACCAGATGGAAAGGGTCAGTCTTGAATTTAAATGAAATGCTGTACGCGCAGGGGTAGCTTTTTAACTGCCGTTCATCTCGTAGGACTTCAATATTTATTGTCGCTGTCTCATGAAATTAACGTTCAGCCCAGTCTCTCTATCCAACAAGCCTCTATTGCCAATTTAAACCAAAAAAAAAAAATCCGTATTCCTTATTCTATAAAACAGCACAATTCACTGCGCTGGTGATCACTGGACCGGAGCTTAAAAAACCGAAGTTTGCTTTTCTTCTTTTCTTGAATCGGAGAGAAAACGCTGAGAAGCCAAATTAGTTCCGTTACCGTTACAAAGGTACCGTTACAAAAGCCTGGCGACACGGAATTACCTGAAAAGTTGTCAAACGCCGTTGGGATGTATTCCGTTGGATACCCGTTGGTGGTGTAGCTGACGACCAGGCTGGTCTTACCCACCGCGCCGTCCCCGACAAGGACGCACTTCACCTTGCGCTCGGCGCCCGGACCCCAGCGAGACCTGCACCTCGCCGGCTGCTCTTTGCCCCGCCACCTGCGCGGAGGTACCGGGGGCGCCTCCGCCACCGCGACCGGCTTGTACTCCGCCGCTCCCTGCGGCGGCATCGCGGCGTGGCACCGGCGGGGCGGTCCCGACTGTCCCTACACCAGATCCCCCAGTCCCGAACGGCTCCCGTGTCCAGATATCCGCGGGGGTGTCATTGGGGGAGCAGAGTGCCCGGTCCCTCTCCCTGAACGGTTCGGTCTGGCTGGGAAATGATCCGCACAACAGACCCCAGCAGCTGTTTTGTGACCGCAAAAGCAACCATTCAAAGCAACACTAACAAAAAAAAAAAATCAATCCCTAAACGTCCACGGCAGAATATGCTTTTTTCGGGGGACCACGAAGCAGTTCCTCCGGTGAGATCGCGTCTGGCTGCAGTGTCGCTCTCCGTATCTCTTCCCCTCCCGCCTCGGTGCAACCTTTCAAGTCTCTATTCCCCAACTCCAGCCTCACCGAGCTACCCTACAGCTGCATGACATCATCGTGAACCTTACACGACCGCGTCGGGGCTTGGGGGAGGGGGTTTCGGGGGGTGGAAAAGACTTGACCGACCGACCAATCGTCGAGCGGCTGCTTCTCCTGCGAGCAGTGCAAGTCTGTTCATTGGCCGTGTTGCTAATCGTTCAAACTACCACTCTTCTACAAAGTTTTTTTTTTTTGTTGGGGGGGTAAATCACACGGCTTCTAAATAGACCGTCGGTTCTTTTGGTCTCTAGAAGACCAAAGTGTCAGTGAAAGATTAACTTGCATTTCAAACGAGGCGTATGGGAATACCCACCCCTGAAAGTGCCACTCACGTGATAAAACACACCACGCAACGCCAACAGGTACAGCAAGGGCCAGAGGAGTTGTCAGTCTGCAGAAGAGGACAAATCGCCTGTCAATGGGACATTGATTGAAGCAGCAGGACATTTTCATAGCACTGTCTATTCTGCTTCTAACTGCTTGGTTGTCCAGTTCAGGGGATGAGTCATGCACATCCAGGACTAGTGGTCTAGTGCAAGGAGGAGCGTGTCCACAAGGCCTTGGTCATCGAGTACAGATACGAGTGATGAACCCCAAGTGTCCAGGAGAGCTCTTACAAAAGAAACATCATCCTTTCTTGTTTTCTGTCATTGCCTGCCTGCAGTGGGCGACCCAGAAGCCAGCTTGCCACCCAGTCTTGTGGGACGCGTTCATTTACAGCTCTCAGGAAGAGATCGGCGCAGGGATTTTCACTATAGCACGTGAAAAACCACAGTGGAGCGTGGAGTGCAATCTGAGTCGCCGAGCGAGCACCAAATGTACAGCTTGTTACTTCACACCTTGGAAACGTTGCCACATGCTTCTCACACGACGAGACAGCGCTGTGAGCACCCCTGCTTTCAGCCTTCCACTGCCACACCTAAAGTCTTTCTGTTGCCTGAACCATAATCCTCATGTTCCTAAGCACTGACTGAGACACAGTGTTTTGAATCATAAGTCCAGACAGTCTTGATGATCAGACCAGGTTACAAATGTGTTACTGTGGTGTTTGTTTTTAACCCAGGTTAAATTAGAATTTATCGATTTGAAAAGGAGTACAGTTCTCTGCTACATCTAAGTGGGTTAGGAGAGATACCTTCAACTGTCTAAACTAGGGCTTGTTTGAGATATTTTCCTCCAATATTGTAAAATACTTTGTGATTATGTATCATGAAATAGATAAATATCTAAAAAATATTAGATTAGAAGTGAATCATGGTATCATTTGTACTGGTAGATGTAAAATAAGATGATTGTGATTGGTATAATGTATTTGTAGTTAAATAGCTGAAAATGCACTTCTTATTTATTCATTTCAGAAGAGATATTTGTAAGATGGAATTGAAATTAGTGACCTCTAAATAAAAGCACCTAAGGAAGAGATGGTAGGAAAAAACTCAGCCCTAGTTCTGGAGAGCTAGGTACCGTACCGTAATGGTCAGTCAACACAGATCTGGAAAGTATGTCTCCTAGTTTAGCAACCGGTTGATCCAATCAAGTGATTCAGATCTGGGCAGTAATGAAAACCAGAAACCACTGGGGCTCTCCGAGTCCATGGCCTAAGTCATTGCGCCGCCTGGTGGTCGTAGTGGTCAACTGTTGTCAATAAGAATCACAGCGCAGACATCACGATACCGACACTAGAACGCCGTAAGACCCGTTAAGGGTTGTTCGATTTTCTCTTCCTGGTTTCCGTAAACGTTTCTGGAGTCTGAGGATGCTGTTCAGAGTGGCTCAACACTTTTACAGACAGGAGAGACCTAATAACAAAGGAATTAGAAGACGGGTGGTCTCAAATATTAAAACACTTGGCACTTTTGTTGGTTTTTTTTGTAATGTCCTTTTTGGCTTTCTACAAATTGGTACGCAACAAGTTGTGAAGCTGCTACAGTAGATTGACCTCTGAAGGGATGGCCTTGTAATGTCTGGAGAAGTCTCTTACAGGCTGCCAGATGGTTTGATCTTTTCATCAAACGTCTTCGTGAATTATTCAGCCCGGCAGGACCTGGGCAGGGTGTGACGTGGGCTCCTGCTTCCTCCCACAGGGGTATCTGTCCCATAAATGAAACTACAAGTGAGATTAGCACCGTTATCCTATTGTGGAGGGTCCATTTTAGGGAGATCGGTTGTCACCTGAAGCTGAGTAAAAAAATAGTGAGAAACGTCAATTTTTCCCTACTTGTTAAGGCCATTATATATAGTATAGTATTAAGAGTAATGGTGTTAACAAACTCCCTTGTTTTTATGAACTGGTTTGAACATAAAAGAGACTGACGTACTGTATATCCTCAGAGAAATTTCCAGCGGACTGACAGCCCCCTTAGCTCTGCTGAGGTGTAACTGAGCCTTCCTACCTTTCCACAGGAGAGCTCAGGGGCGGCTGAGGTTTCCTCCCGCTCGGATCACGCCCTGGAGTCGCCGGGAGCCCCGAGTCTGTGCCACAGAGTCAGTCTGCTCCCCAACACTGCAACAGGCACTAAGGGGAGAGGCAGCCCGACAGACGTTTCACAGGCAAGAAAGTTAGTGTTTGCACCACAGTTTTAATTGAATTTTTTATTTTCCTTTCTGATCATAGCCATGAGCAACTTCCTTCCAACGTTATCGTTGATGTCCAAGATGGGCTTTGTGGGTGTTTGAATCCCAAGTCTGTGCTCCCGTTCTAAACGAGTTGCAGTTACTGACTTGTTTCACCCATTTTATTGTCAATACCCTGTCACTGTCGACGGCGCATGGATTGGTACTGTAAATAAAAAGAAACCGTGATGCGCTTGTTAAACAAAACCCCCGAAGGAATTAGGAACTACAGGGAGAATTACGAGAGTTTAAAAAAGTGGGGAGGATGATATCAGATTTGAACAACTGGAGCTTGAGGTGGTGTTTAGGATGTGACGGCTGAGGAGCTCCTTCTACCGAGGAAAGGGGATTAAAGTCAGCTGAGAGGGGTATCTAAGCAAAGATACCTGTTGCAAAGCACTGAAAGAGGAAAAGTCAGACTAAGTAGGGCGTCTCAATTCAAAACAGGTGACATTTTATTGAGATATTGAGTTGTTTATATTACTTATACTAATAATTGTTATTGTTAATAACACGTATATAGCGCTTTTCTGGACACTCCACTCAAAGTGCTTTACAGGTAAGGGAGATCCCCTCCACCACCAGTGTGCAGCCCCACCTGGATGATGCGACGGCAGAGTGCACCAGTACACTCCCTACACACCAGCTATTAGTGGGGAGAACAGAGTGATGAAGCCAGTTCAGAGATGAGGGTTATTAGGAGGCCATGATTGATAAAGTTCTTGGGAAATTTGGCCAGGACACCGGGGTGATACCCATGCTGTTTTCAAGAAACACCTCAGGATTTGTAATGACTACAGAGAATCAGGACCTCGAATTTAAGTCTCATCCCATATACTATACTGGGGCATTAGGACCCACACAGACCGCTGGGTGAGCGCCCCCTGCTGGCCCCACGAACACCTCTTCCAGCAGCAACCTTAGTTTTTCCCAGGAGTCTCGCATCGAGTTATTGAGCAGGCTTACTGAGCTTCAGGAGTCTGCCAGTTGCGTGCTGCAGAGTGATATGGGCGCTGGCGATATGAAGTCATATGAATTCTATCACTAAGTATCATAAAAAAAAGTCAGATTTTGTATCTGTATTTCTCAGAGGAAGTGCTTGACATATTCAGGTCTTAGTCTTGCGACATAGGATCAAGTAACATTATCACGCAACTAATACATCATAGGAAACAAGAACAGATCTTGTTGGATTTTAGTGCCTGCTGGAAACACAGGAGTGAACAGAGAAACGCAGCGGAACGAGTTGTGTCGGGGAGTTTTGTGCTGAGGGACGTTTGAGTCGGACGGACTTCGAGGAGCCGGATATTCGGAACGCGTGTGTTTGTGTGTTTTTCGGGAGACTTGCCTTCAGGATGGCGGAGAATAGCCCTGATGAGCACAGGGAAGAAACCGGAGTTTTACTTGGCTTTTTGGAAGAAGCGGAGTATTGGCAACTCCAGAGCCCTCAGTTCCCCAGTAAAGTGGGTGGCAGACCTGCGTGGCTGAGCCAGTCGGACCTACCCAGCCCGTCCGAGCTGGCGTGCGAGAAATGCCAGCTCCCTACAGCCTTTCTACTGCAAGTGTATGCGCCTATTGTCGGGCAGGACCGAAGTTTTCACAGAACGATTTTCCTCTTTTGCTGTAAAACTCCAGCCTGCTATTCTCACAATGACAGTCGCTGTTTTAAAGGTACGCTCCTTGATCACTTAACTAATTGGCTCCAAGTTACCGGCTGCTGTTGAAAACCGATTATTATAATGTATCGTGAACCTTATAATGTAGCAACTCCATTCTGGTTTGGTTACATGTTGCTATTTAAATATTGTTCAATTAACACTAACCGTAAAATCTTGGAGACCACACAAGAGTGCGAGTACTTTCTGACTTCAGTGCTGTTCAATAAATGCTATCCAATGCTATTTAACAGACCAAACTCTTGACGTCGAGGTCCGCACTCTGTCTATTAAAATCCTAAACAGCTGAAGCACGTGTAGAAGAGCTAAACTGGTCCAGTAGCACTTTAATAATGTCAGTTTAAAACTTCTTCCAGATGAAGAGCTGTTAATAACATAAAGAGACATAGAAACATTTTGGTTTCCACACCAGGGAACCTTTGGACTAGAAGAACAAGAACAGGGCTCAAGAGTTTTATTCTAAAAGTGGTGTGTATGGGTTGCCAGAAACACACAACAGACGTGAGTGTCCATTTTTAAATCAGCCCTCCCTAAATTCCCTTTAGGAGCTGATCATAAACCTTAAAAAGAAAAATCCCAGATCTCCCCATCTGTGAATTCTCTCTCTCTCTCTCCCCTATGGGCCCATTCGCACCAACTGTATCCTTTATATTCCCACTGCTTTCCTGCCTCACACCCAAAGACCTGAAGAGGCTCAATAGTTGAATCGGTGGTTTCTCTTTTCTGCCTTTCAGTGCGGACTTAACCTTCGCCTGTTTCTTTGCAGCGGAGACCCACTGATGCAGCTTCCCGCCTGAACATTCTAAAAAGACGTTTTGCCCTAAAGAGAGAGCAGGCAAATAAAAGAGGAAATGACCTCAGTACAAACTAAAACATGAAAGATAAGCCCAGTTAGCTGGTCAATGTTTGGAAGAGGATTGGCACTGTCTCCCCGTTTTCCCCCTAAATGGTTTTGGAAAATCATCTGGCTATAGAACGTTAGACTAAAAGATCGTTCTCATAGCCTTCACAGTAAAACGATTATGCATTGGTACTGTATTTTCAGTGTACAGGAGCCAGTTACCCAGAAGGAATGACTTCTACCCATACGACCCTCCTGAAGAGGAGGAGCCCACAGGAGGTGCCAGCGAGGCCTTCGTGCTGGGGTCTGGGGTGAAGCTGTGCAGGGTGTGTGGCTGCCCGGGCACAAAGACATGCTCCCGCTGTCACAGCGCCAACTACTGCAGCAGGCACCACCAGACAGCGGACTGGAAGGCAGGCCATAAGGAGAGGTGTTCCAGCGGCGGTAGGTAGACAGAAGGAGCAAGGTTCTGCTGTGCTCCTGTGCCAGTACAAGTACCATCCATTGAAGCAGGGGCTTACAGTCCTGGTTCCTTCTCGTTTGTCTTCCACCCAAGATCTGATACACAGTTGATCCCTTTATTGTTTTAATATTAGGATTAATTTTGAACTACTTGATTGTCTTCATGCATTTAATGAGTTGGAGGCTGCCTTTTACATATAAGTACGTAATATTGACTTTTAAGTAGGAAAAAAACTGTAAATGTTCTTAGTTCTTATTAGTTTAAGGCTTCAATGAGGTAATGAAGCTTGGCTGGAATGGAAAAAAAAAAACAGTAGTTGTGAGAACCTCCAGGACTGGGAAAACCTGCATTCTTGTTCTTCTGCCAGGGGAAGGCTCTTTCAAATGACCTCCTCTTTCTTCGTTCAGCCCTGTCCGGCGAGCCCAACCCTGTTCACGGTTTTCTCTTCCCCGAATTTGAGCTGGTGACGGAGCCGGAGGAGCTGCCAGTGAGAGATGCTGAAGAGCTCAGCAAACCCCTGGAGGAATCACAGCAGAGCTCGCCATACAGCCATTTACCCGGTGAAGGTCGGGACAACACTACCACCTCCAGTTTACATAGTTCCAGTTCATTACAATTTTGCAATGTAATCTAGTGCCCTTTCATGAGGTACCGTTCCATAGAGCTTCCATTTTCTGTTTTAGTTAAGAACCATAAAGGAACATGTAAACGTACGCATGACAGATTAGGGTTCTGGAGGTTTCATGGTAACCTGCTGAAGTCGATCTGATGTTGGGAACCAGGTGTAAAAGCACACTGAGCACAAAACCAAAAGCCCTACAAGGCTTACTGTTTCAAATATCTCTACTGCAGGCTTGGAGTCCCCGGACCTGAAGGATCTAGAAACCATGGCTATGCATGAAACCGAAGATCAAAAACTGTTTCAGAAATTTAAACAGAGGACTGCACATGAGCCTCATCAGGTTGGTCTTTTTACAGACCTTAAGGTCCATCAGGTTTTATCACACACTGGTGTTGAGGGTCTCTGTGAACTTTGTACACACTTGTCCTGCAGAAGATGCAATATTTTATAAAGCGGACCTTTAGAACTGGTTTGAACTGGATTGGAAGAATGACAAGGGTTACTATGTAATTCTATACTGTTAATTGGAATGTGTGCTACGAACCTAAGTAACCAATTGTATTAAAAGATGTTATCTTTAGCAAACAGGGAAGCTGGAAGACAACAGAAAAATATTTAAGGACTGTTCTAGTTAACTTTGAGAAAAACACACCGAGCATCTCTGTGTGTTTCGCTCCCATGCGCATGAAATAACTTCTTTTAACATGAGACAGACTCCCGACTGTCTTTTAAGGGGAAGCGGGAAACATTTCTCCAAGACCTTTATCAGCCGGGTTTCAGTCCCAAAGCCTGGCAGCTGTTCGTGTTGCTTTTAAAGTTAGCTAATTTCAGCTATATCTTTTTACAATCAATCCACTGAGTATTGAAGTTGTCAAAACGTTTGCTGTACGGATGTAGAGCATGTATTTCTAACCCAAGCAAAAACCAACAGCTAACAGGGTTATTATTCCTTATCTTTCAGTGAAAAATGAATTTAAGCACAAGGTTTTTTATCTCTCAACTTGTAGGTGTTACGGTATTGCAGAAAGGGCAGTCCGCTCTGGGTTTCTGCTGAACATCGTCCTCAGGAAAAGGACATCCCAAACTGCTCATGTGGAGCCAGACGTGTCTTTGAATTTCAGGTGCAAGGATTTTTCTCAGAGACTTCCGTCAAATAAAACGTCCCTAAAATGTCCCTAAAATGAAAAATCACTTCTCTAGTTCTATAGTTTCCAAAACTTAGTTAACATTGTCTAAAGGAAGACCAAATAAACCTCAAAGTGACCCATTGTCTTTTGTAACCAAGGTCTGATATTAATGGCATTCTTTCTGCTCGTGTGCCCTTTCAGGTTATGCCCCAGTTACTCAACCATCTGAAGGTGGACACCCTGCAAGAAAGCATTGACTGGGGAGTCCTGGCTGTCTATACTTGTACAGAAACCTGCGAGCAAGGCAACAGCTATACTGCAGAGTTCATCTGGAAACAGGACTTTGCTGCAGACCCCAGAAATACTGAGGACTGAGTGACGTATGGAGCAGTAACAACAGGAGGGAATAATCTTAATGACTACTGGAGCTCTACCTGGTATCTGTGACTCACTGATGATTTTAAATAAACCCAGTTTGGGACGTCCCTTCATAAAGTGAGGATTATAACAGATAACCCTCCCTTCTTGCCCCTTGATACTGGATGACATGAATTACAAAAGCTCAGTAAAATAAATCTGCAGAAAGTCTACTTGTGCAGCTTTCTCCAACTGTGTTATGTATGCTATAAATGTATTTTATGCTGAACTTCAGTAAAAGCACTCAGAATTGACATTTTAAGTGCTTCTATCAATATAAGTTTGAAATTCTTCTACAGTGTTCAAGCCTGTTTTCTAGAGCTGAACTTTCTCTGTAAACTGAATTGCAAAACAGAAAAGACAAACTGAAAACATCAACATATATTCTATCCACTAAGAATTCATTTAACCTTGAGCTATTTACGGCTCAGCCATATACTGTATTCATAAAACATTTTAGTGTAATAAACGTTTTTGAGAAGCAGCTGTGTAAAATTAAAACTGTCTTTAAAGAAGTTTAATTCTAATTAACTGCCAATGAAGTTGTACATTAATTTCTTTGCCAAGGTACAACCCACTATACAATAATTTCACCAAATGTTTTAAGTATAACCTGCACAATGTTAAAAGATACCCTCAAGATAAGTTACCAGCAATCAACTGAGCTAGACCAAATGGCCTCTTGTCAGTCATACTGTTTTTACACTTTGAAATGAAAGTTATGTTATTCATACTGTACATTAATTAAAAACCATGTCTGAGGCTTACCACTGTTTGTGTGTACAGACAGTATACAAACAGGTACTGGATCATCCCATCCTGAGAACATTCCAACATTCACGCAGACTACAGAAAGAACACAACCTCCATAATGAAATGATTTAATTGTGTACAGTATGACAAATACACAAAAGTAAAAATGCACCTGGGAAAAAAAACTTCTAGACACCATTGAAATACTGTACTTTGCACAGCCAGAGCTTGGGAAGCATCAAAGCCACATATAGCTATATACAAGGAGTACCTTTTCAATTCTAATCCAATTGGAGGGAAGACGCATATAAAGATTCTCAGGGGAGTTTTTAACTGCTTTATTGGGAGTAAGTTCGAAAATGATTAAATGCCCCTGCAAGAAATATATACACATTTGTAAAAAATAAATAAAGGACGATTTGCAGGTACAGTAACTTTAAATTCCCAGGTTCTGTTTCTCAGGTGAGACAAGTCCTTACTCTTTATAAATTTCAACCTTGCCACCTTCTAAAATGATAAAAAAACGGCATCCTTAGGTCTTCATTAAATCATATACATTGTGATTTTACCATAATGCCTAACAATTTAAAGAATGTGGAAAAATTATAAAAATAGCTCCATTTTAAGCTTTGATATTTTATGATAGTATTATATTGTAGTCTGTAGTCGTTACTGAAGTTATATTTAATACTCTGAACTTGGACCAACTAGACTTGCATTAACTTGGTAAAAAAACTTCTTGTTCATTCCTACAAAAATTTCTGAGCACAGAAACTTAACATTCAGGTCTTTGAAGAACGTCTGACAAAGGAATGTATGGAAAATCCCAATATGTTTACATTTAAATGCCTGGTAAAAACAATATTAAAATGAAGATTAAACTTAAAACACTTAAAAAATGTATTTTAAAAACTAATGTAGCTTGGTTGACGATTCTTCTCCTGAAGTACCAGGCAAGACAACTTATTTAAAAGCAAATCTGACAGCTAAAATAAAGCGGGCTCCTAGAATTCCTCACCACAGGAAGGCAGTGCAGGAATTCCAACTTCATTCCCATTAATAACACACCTCAGTCTTCCATGAGGCCAAGTCCCAAGTTCATGGATGATAACACTACTGAATTTCTTGAGGGAAAAAAAAAAAGCAAAGGTTTTTCATAAAACCAGTTACGTGGTCTTCCTGAATCCTTTTAAGATGGGATAGATGTTTTCAAATGCTTCGTAAATTTCTGCTCTCACCTTTGCACCTGGGAACAAAGGTGGAAAATGAATGGAAATCGTCATTCGTACAGCACTAGTGTTGACATGTCAATCTGTACACGCTCTTGATATCCCAAAAAACATTTAAAAGTCAGCCACAATGGCGCACTCACAAATTGTACTATGTTTTTCTCTTTGGTATGTTAATCTTCAGCTACACATGAACAAGTACTTGTGAAAATGGTATCTGTTACAAGGTACTTGGCTCAAGAGACAAAACTGTACACTTCGTTTCTTTTCCACTGTGCAAATACACTTCTATTAGACATACTAATCAGTTTGATAATCTATAAATATGATAAATGTTACAGCTATTAGGATTCACAACAAATGATTTATTCTTCAATTATAGTCATTGAATGCAGCAAAATCTTACCTGTTAGTACAACTTTTCCAGACACAAATATTAAAAGTACAATTCTGGGCTTGATCATTCTGTAAATTAAGCCTGGGAACAACTCGGGCTCATAGCTAAAAAATAAAAATGATAAGTCATTTAAAGATATTCGTAGAAATATGGTCAAGAGAAGAAAAGGAAAATATCAAGGACAATATTTATAGAAATTTCAAAAAAATATTATTCAGAGTTACTACTGCACCCCCACAATGAGAGTGGTCTTCACAATCCAGTTTAGCGACCCCAGGAACAACAATGCTGTTTCATTAGGGCATAATGGTATACTGGCACTCATCTTCTTGCTATCTGAATCTCCTTACTTGCTCTTACATCCCAAAGGACTGAATAAAATAGTTTCTTATTGTACATTCAGAAAACAGCACAGTCTACTTTCTTTAAAACAGTGCTTTTGTACACAAACACCCAATTGTGATGTTTTATAAAAGTGTGCATGACATACCTGCTAAACTGCTGATGTGTTAGGACCAGACCTTCAAGTCTTATAGGGAACTTGACATCGCAGCTTCCCACCATATTCTGAATCTTAAAATCCAGGAACTTTGCTGGAAAGCCCAACTTCTGGACCACTCTGGCATATTTTCTGGCTGCCAATCGTGACTGTTCCTCACTGTGAGCAGAGGAAAGAAATGCAGGTACAGTGTGATGTGCAGTAAAGATTTGCAGGTACAAGCAGGCAGGCAAGAGGCAAGTGAACACAGGTGATCAAAGGGTGTCTCTGATGATTAACTTCACGGTAAATAATGAAACCATAATTGATCAATATTCAGCAGCCATAGAGCACAGCACAAAGGTAGGAGGAAAGGAAGAGGAAAAGAGACTCCTAACAGGCTAAAAGAACTGTTAATCTTTTTTTTCTGAAGAGCAAAGACGACAAGATGGTCCGATTCTAGTTTTCCAACTCCTCGAAGGTAGAGACAAAGTCAGCCCAGTGGACACAATAAACAGTGAAACACAAGCCAGGGGACATGTGAAAGTGCATTTAATACAGAGAACAGGAGGCACATCTTCACCCAAAGGGTTATGCGATTATCCTTATGAAGCCCAGAGCTTCAAGTCTGAAAGCAGGATATCTGATGACGCACCTCTTTGCTCCAGTGCACACCATCTTCCCAGAGCTGAAGATGAGGGCAGTTGTTCTTGGTTCCCGTATTCTCATAATTACGGCTGCAAATCGCTACAAGGCAAAAAAAGATGTTAATCTTTTTCCCCAACAACAACAAAAAAAACACAATCCTTAGTACTCCCAATAAATAGTAAAGTGGTTTGGGAAACATTTTGTTTCATACAACTTTCAGGGCTGTGTACATCACTATTCAAGAGATCACTGATCAGAAATAAAGAAAGGCTTTGAACAGTCAACATGTGCATGTCTTCAACAAGCTCTCGATTTACAATGAAATACCCAGGAGGAAGACACACAGCACAGTTTGTAATAACAGGGTTAACACTTACAGCAGTTCACAGACTCCAATTACCATCAGTCCTGGACTATCTAATGTGCATTTAGATAAACTAATCCAGGGCTACTTCTAATGGGGGGGTGGGTGCACGAAAGTCTCCTCTTATTAGTGGAAAAACATCAAAATAAACATCTTACCTTTGGATTATATTCAGCATTTCTGGCTCGCAGTGCTATTGTTTTTAGGTCGAGCTTACAGCCCAGGTTTACAGTGGACACTATATTTCTAAAAGAGAAGCAGAGTGGGATATTCAATTGGTTAAAAAAAACAAAACAAGGCATATAGTGATAAGTGATAAGCCAGCAGCCATATCACTCTGCAACTCACAACTGGCAGCCCACTGGAGCTCAGCAGGTGTGAGCCTGGTCAGTACCTGGATGGGAGACCTCCTGGGAAAAACTAAGGCTGCTGCTGGAAGAGGTGTTAGTGGGGCCAGCAGGGGGCGCTCACCCTGTGGTCCATGTGGGTCCTAATGCCCCAGTATAGTGACGGGGACACTGTCCTTCGGATGAGACGTAAAACCGAGGTCCTGACTCTCTGTGGTCATTAAAAATCCCAGGGCGTCTCTCGAAAGAAGTAGGGGTGTCACCCTGGCATCCTGGCCAAATTTCCCATTGGCCCTTACAAATCATGGCCTCCTAATAATCTCCATCTATAAATTGGCTTCATTACTCTGCTCTTCTCCCCACTGAGAGCTGATGTGTGGTGAGCGTTCTGGCGCACTATGGCTGCCGGGCTGCACACTGGTGGTGGTGGTGGAGGGGATCCCCATTACCTGTAAAGTGCTTTGAGTGGAGTGTCCAGAAAAGCGCTATATAAGTGTAAGCTATTATTAATTATTATATACAACCTCACTGTCAGTGAATAAATACTTTTTGTTTTCTAATGGCAACCATACTAAAACTGACAAACTGTAATACATTAATTTAATTGATTTTGCTCTTATTTCCATGACGGTGGCACTGCTTTGGAGTGCACTATGCCCCGTTTCCCCTGGCTTCTTCCATTTCTAGCTGAGGCATCCAGTCTGAACAAGCTATTTAGACACATTCAATTATCAGTATCAGCTCGACAATCCCCAATGACTGCTTCATGTCGGCAGCGCATAAAGCTGCCAATCAAAAGCAATCTTTTGAAACGCTTTGCTGCAGGCACTTAAAAATCAGAGTTCTTGCCTATTCGTTTTTTTAAGCATGAAACACACTGCTCAAACAGATTCCTATCTGGAGACAGACTTAGCCAGTCTAAGGTTCTCCATTTTTATCTTCTGATATATTCCTTGGTTGCCTTCAATCACCGTTATGCTGCATGGCGAATCTTCACCCAATAGGTATGAATGCATTCTCTTCTACACAAGCAGACCAATGCTTCTGTGAACATTAGAATGTTGTTTTTGCAGCCATTGTTACATCGGTAAAAACAAGACAGCCAGTTCCAGAGGCTGCAGTAAGTGAAAGGTCATACTTAAGGACACACCTACTATTGAAGAGAGATGCAGAGGAACTAATGTTAATAATAATAATAATAATAATAATAATAATTGCTTACAGTTATATAGCGCTTTTCTGGACACTCCACTCAAAGCGCTTTACAGACAATGGGGATCCCCTCCACCATTGATACTTGGAGTTTCTCTATGTATGGACTCAGTGGCCTGTTCATTATGGGGAAAATTGGTCAGAGCACAACAATACAATGAAGCATCTGATGTCTAACACAGCATGGCAGAAAGGCAGGTTTGGTCAGCACTTCTGTGTAGTGTGGTCCTATTCTTTTGCACCTGTAGAGGGCTCAACAGCCGAACAGTGTTTCTTCTCAGCGAGGAATTAAACATTATTTGTTCCCGGTTCTAAAGCATGCATTTCATTAGTTTGCAGTTAAATCAATCCAATTTAGATTTCGCACACAAATCTGCCCAGCACACAGATCCAGCTGGCTGCGATATACGGAGCTAATCTTGTATCGCCGCAGGCAGAAGACTCAGCCTGCAAGCTTGAGGAGCTGGGGCACGAGCCCTGGCGAGAGGGTGAGGAGGACGGAGGGGGTACTCACTGGAGCTGGGGCACGATGCCGGAGCTCTCGGACGCAGGCGTGGCCGGGGTGATAGGGGTCATGGGGGTGAGTGGGGTGGTGTACATGGGGGTGTTTCCGGGAAGGGCGGTGGTCGTGACGGTCTGGGAATGATAGAGCTGTGGCGTCTGGCCTGAGGAAGCTTGCACCACGCCCTGCTGGGACGTGGACTGCTGCTGCTGCTGCTGTTGCTGTTGTTGTTGCTGCTGCTGCTGTTGTTGTTGTTGCTGCCGCTGCTGCTCCTCCAGCAGAGAGAGGCTGTTGGTGCTCTGAACGGGCTGTGGCGTCAGCCCCGTGCCGTAGGGCATCATGGGGCTGAACAGAGGCATGCCAGGCGTCATGGCACCCTGAAGGAGCAAACAGGACACTATGAGAGGATGACACAGGGAGCTGAAGAAACTCTGGAGGAAAAAAACAGTCAAGAGGCTATTTGAACTTCATTTAAACAGCATGCAGTCAGATACTGTTGTTTATTTGTCAGTTTCTGTTTTGATTTGGCCACACCGGTTGTTCTCATCGGCCATGCCAATAAAGCCCCTTGAATTGAAATTGAATTGAAAACCGGTTCTTCATCAACAGACCAGCCCTTCTGCTGCTCTTGAGAAACCAGGGAAGTGACATTCCCCTCGACTGATTAAATAAACACTGTCGCCAGGACGGAAAACCTTGTACTTTTCAACCCTATACAAATACACTGAACTAGCAATTAAACACCTTTCCCCATTTCACTGCTATCAAACAAACCCAAATCCAAACGCCTACTTGGCCTACTATGTTCTGGGGTAAGACGCAGAATGGATAGTTACAGGAACGATTTAAAGACATCATCCATGATATCACTCTCTTGCTGTCAAAGACTATACTTCTACCATGGCGCTCCAATTACAGTGCATAAATAAAGGTGATCAGGGAACCTTTATTCTGACTAAATATAAAATATAAGCTGGAGCAGTGCTGAACTTGAAATACATGTCTGTAACAGTAGTTTGCATTTTTTCAGCAAATTAAGTGAAAACGAAATGCTTGAATTTCCAACACTACTGAACACTCAGGAGATCTTTGCAATGTCCACCCTGTTCACTGATCCCACTCCGATTCTCCTCGTGTGGAACCCCTCCTTCTCACCTGCGGAGACGCCAGGCCTTGTGCATATGGGGGCAAGCTGTTGTTCTGTTCCATTCTCTCCCGAGCCAAGCGTCACCAGAGAAACACCTCTGAAGGGCTTCTTCCACCTTTTGTCCGCAACTAAACACTAACTGCAGCCAACACCAGTCATTCAGTTGAGACGTCCTGACAAAGGGCCTCTTCGAAACCTGAAACAAGAGAAAACAAAATACATCGCACGATGTTCCAAACAGAGAAGGACAAGTTCTAACAATGCACCTCTTAGTTACGGAAAGTAAAAGATGTAAGATTTTTTGGATGAGACAACTTCCAAAGAAATGTTTTATCTTGACACGTTGGCCATTGTATGAGTGAGATACATTAAGCATTTTAACACAACTGGTGCAGTACAGAGAAGTGGTTCTCAGCTCGTGACTGGGGGGAGGTCTGTCTCTTCAGGTGTTTGCTCCACTTGCTATCTTAATCAGGCAAAGTGATCCCTTCAATTGATTTTCCAGCTTGATTAGACCATTAAATAGCTTGTCCACATAATTCTGTACTCAGATTTTGTTTTAGAAAATACTGCCAAGAAATCTCCATTCAGTATCTCCTCAACCTGCTTAATTAAGTGGTTCTGGCATTTTTGTGTCTAAACAGTTCTCACGAAGTAATACATTATTTAGGTACAGGTACATGTGAGAACACTTTATCAAACCCTCCAACCAATAAAGGCCATTTTGTGTTCTCCAAAGACCCAATTACATACAATCCATACACCTGAATGAGTGCAGAAAAGGTTTTGGGGTCCATGTGCATCAACAACTCCGTAAATGCTCTTATGAAATTAACAGAATATCTTAATCAGCTACAGCTCTATCTGCCTAGATAATCACAATGTCATCCTGAAAGAAAACCAGAAAGACCTGGAGGTCCTCCAGGTTCTGATGTGTACAGCACTAGTGTACAATGATTTGTGCATTAGATTAACCTAGAAGCCATGTCACTCTGCAACTCACAACTGGCAGCCCACTGGAGCTCAGCAGGTGTGAGCCTGGCCAGTACCTGGATGGGAGACCTCCTGGGAAAAACTAAGGCTGCTGCTGGAAGAGGTGTTAGTGGGGCTGGCAGGGGGTGCTCACCCTGCGGTCCATGTGGATCCTAATGCCCCAGTATAGTGACGGGGACACTATACTGTAAACAGGCGCCGTCCTTCGGATGAAAACCGAGGTCCTGACTCTTTGCGGTCATTAAAAATCCCAGGGCGTTTCTCGAAGAGAGTAGGCGTGTAACCCCTGGCCAAATTTCCTATTGGCCCTAACCAATCATGGCCTCCTAATAATAATCTCCATCTATGAATTGGCTTCATCACTCTGCTCTCCTCCCCACTGAGAGCTGGTGTGTGGGGAGCGTTCTGGCGCGCTATGGCTGCCGTCGCATCATCCAGGTGGGGCTGCACACTGGTGGTGGTGGAGGGGATCCCCCATTACCTGTAAAGCGCTTTGAGTGGAGTGTCCAGAAAAGCTCTATATAAGTGTAAGCAATTATTATTACTACGATGGTTACAATGGTATGTTCTCCCTGTATTCACATTGGGTTTCTTCCCACAGTACAAATGCTGGTGGGTTAATTGGCTTCTTGGAAAATCGGCCCAGGTGCGAGTGTGTGCGTTTGTGTCTGTCTGTGCCCTGTGATGGACTGGTGTCCCATCCAGGGTGTACCCCGTCATACACCTGTTTCTGGGCAGGATAGGCTCTGGCTCCCCCCTGACCCCAAACTGGAAGAGGCAGTTTATGAAATGGGTAGATGGATTTGTTTACATCCCCAAGCACTAAATTATAAAAGGTCATTATTTTCTTATTTTTTTAGTCATCCTGGACAAAAACCAGGATGTTACTTAAGGCTTTTTACAGTTGATGACTCAACACACTCAGTACATTAAGGTAATGTACTATACAGGGTATAGTCACACATTACACCAAGCTACAGGTATTACACCTATGCAGTTAAATAATTAGGCCTTTGATGTAACTGACAGCTCAGGCTGGAACCCCTGATGGTTAAACATCTCAGTTAAATGTCCCATCAGAAGGATATATGGCACTGCCTGAGTTTTTTTAAACTGGTCTTGGGGACCCACCGTGTCTGCCGATCTTCATTCCATTTGATAACACTCTTTATTGAACTCGACTAATAATTGTCTTGCTTAGGCCTCTAATAAATAGTTTGCAGCTTTGACAGCAGAAGACCGAGCCGGGCAGAGCGCAGTTCAACGACAACGCGAAGCAACGAGACCCAGCCCTCCACCAAAACACGGTCCTGACAGCAGTGTCGAAATGTTGGCACCAAAGCCAGTTCTTACTTAACTCTTACTTACCCACCTGCTAAATCGGAGACACTAATGCAACTAGGTTTTCCAGCACCCAGGTTCTGATGCTGATGCAGACATTGCAGAAGGACATTACAGCAGTGTTGGACCAGCGCATATTAACAGATTTTTTCATCGAGAAACCTCTCTTCGCCACCGCTGTAGTATCGCCTTTGTGTCGTAGTTGACGAAGTGCAAAACCATGCACCTTAAGTAACCATGCCAGTTAGTCTTTAAACCATGGGTTTAAATGATTTTAAATCAGAGCCGTTACTTTCCTAGTATGGGGCACTGCAGATATGCGAGATAAAGAACAAATGCACAATAAAACAACGCTCAATGCATAATTATCTATAAATAAAAAAGCGAGTTAAAAATTATAGCTGAACGCAACAAACATACAATCTTCGCGAGCACGTATCTTTTACGTTTGAAGGCGTAAAATTCATTTTAGGGCTGTTTATAAATGACTTGGCAGTTATACCCAAATACATTTTAAACAAATTAATTGCAAAATAATCCCGCTCACACACATACAATTTCCTTCTGGTACCCGACGGCCCCGACGTGTAGCGAGACATTCCTTCGCAAAATAAACACACCCTCGCTATCTAGGCTCATTACTGTCTCCCAAACACAGAAAATAAACGGTTAGCCCCTTCGTCCCGTTTCCCCTCACCTTTTTACGCCTCTGTCTCTGCAGCAGCTCTTGTTTTTTCGACCGCTCACTACCGCAAAAAAAACCCTCCTTCTCTCCCAGCAAACTGCGCGCAAACTTCCTGTAGCGCCGAGTTGTCCTTCCGGAACAGCCGTGCAAAACTAAAAATGTGATGGTGGTCGCTATATGTGAACAGGGTTTAAGAGTAATTGCCTAGGTGTTTTAAAATACAGGAGACATAACAAGTCTGGTGGTCATTTGTTTTTCAGATAATTGGTCTTAAATATAATTTTTTTAATCCTTTTTTTTAAATCCTTAAGAGTTTCAATCAGTATGTCAAAGAGTGTGATTCTGTACATGATTTCATATACAGACGTCTCTCGTGTGTTTATAAAATTTTGAGGTCAACTAAATACAGCTTTCTACTAGGACACAGCAGGGTATGGGCCGACAGTTTTATACTGGAAGGCGTGCCTTAGTTATTATTGATTTATCTAAAGCAAAACTTGAGTGTTTAGTACTTGGAATTATATCAGTCGTGTATATACGTAATAATACGGTAAATAACCAGTTTTAAATTGTGTGCAGAACATTTGGATTTAGCTAATCTAAAGCATACGGATAAACAGGATTTTGTGATTTGTGCTTTGGGCACTCATTTTAATGCGGCGCTCATTGGAAGCAGGGCGATCCTTCTCGTTGTTTTCTGTGTCATCGGGTGCGCAGGCAGAAACTGGGTCGTGCAGGGAAATGAGTGTTGAATTCAATTATTAATGTAAAGATGGGTGTAAAAATGGTGTTTGCGATATGGTGTAACAATCTGAACGAAATCCTAAATACGAGACGGGCACACACAATCGTTTGTAGCGAGAGAGTCTTATTGAAAATGTCACACGAGGCTGCAGTGTGGTTCACTGTGCAAGACGAGGTGGACAGAGTGGTCAGCCGGAGTATCCCCTGGTCCGGGCTAGACACCTTCGACAATGAATTTTTTTTCGACCACTTCCATTTCTCTACTCCCACACCCTCCCTTATCCACGTCTCCGTTGTCTCTGTGGGCTGCGTGCGGGACAGCCCTGCTCGCGGCTCTGAGCTCCTGTGCAAACGGGTCCCTGCAGACACACATGGCGGAGGTTGCGGGGACGCCCCAGTCCTCCGTCAGCCCAGCCGCGACCACAGTTTCCCCAGTCTTGCCTGACAGGGCAGAGCAGCTACTCACTTTCCCCGGCAGCGAGGAGAACAGGGCTCGGGTGTCGCCTAGAGCTGGGCTGCACTCAAGTGCGCACCACAGCGCCCGTAGAAAGAGAGTTCGTTTTCATGAGTACAAACACCTACCGGTCCATCAGTCCAGATGGTTTGCGACTCGCACAGTAATTTACTCAGTGTTGCAACTTTATCGGAACCGTCCTCCATAAGCAAAGAGTTCCAGGCTGGCATTTGTGGAGATGATGGATGGCTTGCTGGTGTTGATTGAGTGGCAAGGTTGATCCACTCATTCGTCCGAAAGGAAGTCAACATAACCAGTCTTGGACTTCTCTGAACATTTTAAAACAAAATCCAGATGAGGCCCTTCTGCATATCATCAGGAAAAGCCAATTGAAAGACTGTTGTCAGAATAATTTTAACTACTCATTGCTATGTTTAGGGGTGAAGTCTCTGTGGTTTGGGGTACCCCACAGGCCCTAATGAACCTGAGTACTTTTTAAATTAAACCGAGTAGTTTTGGGGGTACCCTCAGGCCTTGGTTGACCCAAGTGCCGTGGCTGGTTTTACAGGGTTGTGTGCTTTATTGTTTTGTCATGCTTGTCTTCTGGCTTTGTTTTCACTCTGTGCAGTAAATGTCTAGATTGCTTTTTATGATATTTGCCTTGGCTTACCTGCTGTTGGTTTAGGCCTAGGGTTTGCCTTTAAAAAGGATCCACTTGCCTGATTTACACCGATACATAATCACCTCTCGGCTTAGCATCTCATTTGCTTTTAAGACAGCAGAAGTTGCTTTTTGCAGAAGCACCTCCTCACCCGTGTCGGATCCAGCTGGTCAGGCGGAAGGGCGATACAACAGAGCCCATGACAAGACCCATAGTTATCCAGAGGACATCTCGTGCCCTCAAACTGAGATTCCGGGTGCAATCAGAAATACACGCCCACCAAGGCCACTGAGATTATCAATGCCCGTGTAAGGGTTCTGGGGGTCTCCGCTCTTGCCCCTCCTGCCCTGCCAGTTCGTCTCTCACTGCTTCGGCATGAACCCGGGTCTCTGGTGTCATGCAACAGGGAGCTTGCCAGCTGAGCTGAAGGAGAACTCCCTAAGCCCAGGCGGCCGAGATCCCCGTTAAACACGGGGGTATTCGTTACACCTGCTGCACGCTGCACAACATCGCCCGGAAGTTCTCTGTCGGGCTGCTGGAGGAGAGCCCACCCTGATCCAGACATGGCCCTTCCGAGACAGCAATTGATAAAAACTCATTTATACGAGGATTTAAGCAGTCCATCAGAACACTCCGGAGGGTTCTCAGAAAACTGTCTTTTTCCACGACTCAAGACCACTTTGCTCACTTTAAATTGCTAATGAGCTACAGAGCAGGGCTATTCAATTTGAGGCTCTCTTTTATTACAGATCCAGAATTATACTACAGCCCAACCCCCAACCCCTTATCACCTGTTGAGACTTAAAAGTCCCACCAGTAGAAAGTCTATGGGCTCTGCATCTGGGCTTGAAGCCTGGCCGGACTGCAAAGCCAAGTGCGAAGACATGGGACTGCAGAACTGAGCTGGACACTGGCCAGAGATTCTCTTAAATGGCCAGATGAGAATTGTGTCATTAAACAAAATTTGTCTCAGACACATGATGCAGTTAGAATATAATCTGTAAACCATGCTTAATTCAAGACCCCTAATTACAAATCCAATACTTCAAGCAGTATTTCTGTGGCCTTTGGATCCATGCAATTCTTTATGTGCATTTAAAGGACTTATGCAAATTCATGCTGCATATTAAAAATCACTCTTACAGTAATAATGTAATCACATCAATAATATAAATTCATTTACATTATTGAACAGCAGCAGTGGAGTCCTTGGTTCTAACTAAAGCAGGGGTGCCCAACTTCAATACTAGAGAGCCCATGTGTTTGCATTTTTCCAACTCCGCTCTTAGATTACATAATTTTATGGCTTAACTGTACCTCTTTAACTTTTCCCAACTTGTCAGCTGCTGCCGTATAGTGATGTAGAAAGCCTATCGACACTGACTGTCAGAACCTGCATTGGTTCCAGAAATAAAAATGTTCATTACTAAATAATCCGTATCGCATGGATAGTTTGGTTATTTCAAAATCAGGAACACGCACTCCAGATACAAAAATAATTATAGGGAAACTGCAGAGGTTTATTTAGATATCAATGATTGATTTTAGATCAATGGAGTTTTTAGAATGTGGAAAATTATAGTTTTAGCTAATGGAATAGAACATATGGATGTTTCAGCGCAAAATGACATGAAACATACCTGGCAAACTATTAAATTGGTTTACATTTTTGTTTAAAAACAAAGTTAGGGTCAGTTTAAATACAGAAAGGAGTACTTCCTTGTAATAGAAAATATACATACCATACCTCTTTATTTACTACACAAGATGACAGTGTAAAAAATGAATACACTTTCATTAAACATTTCTGAAGGAAAGTGGTACAAGTTTATTCTCAATCTTTTCGGAGTGGGACAGTCTCTTCCTTGATGCCCTCCTTGGTGACAATGCAGATTTTAAGAGCATCACCTGTGTACACATCTCTCTCAGCTGCTGAGATGAAGACATCCTTGACAAGCTGAACAGCCTTCTCCAAGGTCAGAGGCAAGTGCTCCACATTCTCCATGTTCTTGAAGCCAATCTAGAGAGGAGTAAAAGGCATTTAAAATCATACACCGCCATAAGGAAGCTGCCCTCTACTGAAGTCCAGTAAAAATCCTATACAGCAGTTGTCCTCAGTGCAATATTGTAATATATAAAAACAGTACATGACCATATGATCTGCTAGTTAAATGCCCATACAGTGAAGAACTGAAGGGAATTTGATAAACACTACCCTTAGACCCAAAAGATTCAGATTTGAAAACCATTTCATTCATCAAATGTATCAACTGCACAGAACAACAATGTCTGATTAAACAAAAATAATTTTGCATTCATAGTAACAAGTCTATTTTTTAATTATTATTTCTCTAAAAATTCAATTAAAGTTTCTTCCTTTTCCCAGCTGCAGTAAACATCATGAAGTCATATCAGAATTAGTTTAATGCCTGTAATATTGTTAAAAATATTGACTGAATCGAAGTTAATGCCCATGCAACACATGAGATCAAACTTCACATGGTCAACAATAAATCAGCCTTATGGGGAACAGAGTGCAAGAACACTGCTTTCCACAGGAACTGTACCTGGTTATCGAGGAGGGGCTGCAGCATGGCACTTGCTGAACCTCCAGCCTTGTAAGCATCTCTTTGATAAGAGCCTACTGGATCAAAACTGTACACTGCTCCCTTACCTGGAAAAGTCACGTTCTTGTTAAGGTACACATTCTCAACGAAACAGCCTTTTAAATTTAAAATAAAAATGATTTTCCCCCATTTTCAACTGGTGGATTTAATCATTTGCAAATCTGAACACAATTTCAAATTGTGTCATTCCTTTCGCCACAGCTTTAAAATCCTGCAGGAGAATGAGCTGCCACAGACATTTGGCTCCTGACTCAGATATTTCTGGGGAACAACACACAAGCCCCCTGTGACATTACTGCGCTGCTCCATACAAACAGGCCTAAATACAAGGCAGCAGATTAGACACCACAGTATAAAGAGATTCACTGGAGGTTTAAATACTAGATGTAATTTATAACATCACAAACCAAATTTATTCAAAATAAAAAGTCTTGAAAGATGTACCACTTGGTATTGCTATTGTTATTCAAGAGCCTGCAGTTCCTGAAAAAGACAGAAGCGCATGACACTAATATGTGCTGCTCTGTCAGTTTTACTATTCATCCATTTTCTGATCTCTGTATCCAAAACGGAGTTGCAGGGGAGCCAGAGTCTATCCCTGGCTAGCCATGGGCACAAGGCGGGGTACACCCTGGACAGGACACACTGACACAAACACAGACTCTCACACAAAGGCCTTGCCCGCCCATATGTATTTGCGGAGCACCCAGAGGAAACCCACACAAACATACGGAGAACATGCCGACTCCACACAGATAGCACCCCAGTAACTGAACCCAGGATCCCAGAGCTGCATGGCACCAATGCTAACTACTGTACCAATGTGCTGCCCACTAGATTTATTACTTGTTAAATCACTCTTACAACTTCAGAGGCTGACAGAATGAAACGTCCACGTTCAGTGAGCACAAGCAACAGAACCAATGTGACATACCTTCCTCATCAAGGCCACCAATGATGTTGTAAACATAGTAAGGGAAGAACCGCCGAGAGTACAGAATGGTGGAAAGCATGGCCGCAATCGCTCCGCTTGTCATGGTCTTGTTATTTGAGTGCTTGTACATCTAAAAGCACAAAGAATAAGGCAATGAATCACAAACTGCCCCCATCCCTACAACAAAGAAAGACTTCCGTTCACACAAAGCTGTCAGCACTAGTCCAGTGCAATACCTTTAATCTCGCATCGATAATTTTGGTCAGTGTCAGGCAGTCACCATGGAATCCACTGCAACCGATGACTGTTCTGTCTGTTCTGTGAAATGAAAGCAGAAACATTTCGTAACCTTCGCTTACATGATGTATACTGAATTAAAACCTATTTACACCACTCATCACTCCTATAAAAGGAAGCTAATAACATTACAGAGCAGAGAACAAACAGTATAAAAAGTAAATACTGTAATGTTACCTTTTAGGCTTTTTTTTAGGAATTTAGGCTTTGCCTCCAACTCCACCAAAGTGTAAATGTAGCTTGAAGATCACTGATAGAGACACTTCATTGGTTCCATTTGTTTATATCCACACAACCATACACTGTCAACAACATCAACCCCTACTGTGCCTTCTTATTTCTGTACAAGTGGTGTCCAACAGGAATTTTGAAGGACTTCCATTGAGAAGTATGACAAACTCACTATTATGCAGTAGACTTGTGTTTTACACAAATCCTTGTACGTGTGGTTGGAAATTAGTGAAAAAAATCAAATAACGTAGGAAATTTCACAAATTCAAATCGGCAGGAACCTGAGCTACACTGTGCGAAGCAGTTACGGAGCCGATAGCACGCTGGTGCTTTCTTTAGCATCACCCTCAATATGGCCTGTAAACCGAAAAACAGGTAGGAAGGGGAAAGGCAAGTCAAGAAAAGTGCCTGAATCGGAGTTAAAATCAAGATTTTGAATAAGCTAAAGGGTGGGGTGATAGTGAATAGTTTGGCGTGTATGTATGACAAGAATGAATCTTAGATTTGTCCAATGAGAGAGGGTGAAGGTTATTCCTCTACTGAGTACCCTACCTTATAATTGCTGTATTACTGTTTTCATAATACTTTAATCTACACACACATACTAATACACTTACGACTTATTTGACTTGTTTAGAGGAGGGGAAAAGGAGGGTCTAAGAGGGCATTATATGTCAGAAACCTACCTACTGTGTAAAGCAAGTCTACTCTATAAAATCACGACACAATCTTACATGTATTTCTTATCACTGAAGCAGGTCAACTTAAATTATCAATAATTTTTATGGAGTTGCTACCTTAACACAGAAGCCTTCCAGGACCAGAATTAAGACACTATTGATAAAACTGTACACACTGTTTTAGTGTTAAAAAAATTGCTTTAAATCTCTAGAAACTGATCATTGAGACTTAATTTAAGTCTAACAGGAGAATGTCTCTCCAAGGATGGGGATACCTTTACCTCTGCTCCTTTTGAGTGAAGATTCAGTATGCAAAATCACAAGTAACACAATCCCTGCTTGTCTCATTACTGGTGAATACAATGCCAGAGGCCTGTTCTTATACAGGATCTGTGCATTAGCAACACAAGATTAATGGGCACTATCACTTGGTTGTTCATCCATGACAAAACACATGCAGAGCATCCACAGACAAGGTCTAACCTTTCCCACTTGGCCTGCATGCTGTTTCTTATATTCCAATAAAAACTGAGCTGTACTGGATGATGCATGTTTGCAAGAAAATATCAGTGTCTCGTTTTCATTTCCCCTGCCGAGAGAGTGACATGAACGCAAGATAAAAGCTGACGGTCAGCAAAAGCCAACAAGGAGTTTCTACTACACTGCCTAGAATATTTTCATTTCTGATTGCTGTCAAACAAAAAAACATTACTTTGCTGCATGTAATTTGACAGTGGACAAGCTGTCAAAAATGCTCCATTGTACTTGGGAAGGAATAAGCAAATGAAACCTGCCTCACTGGTACACCATTTAACTAGAGATATCAAATTCTATACAAGGACTGGGTACTTTCCAGGAGCCACAGCAAATCATTTGCCTCATGCTTGGGTTTCGAACTCAATTCCTGGAAGGAATTCCTGGTTTGTGTTCCACTCTCAGAGTGCCTTAGTATATCAGTGGAGCTGCAGATGCACCTGTGTCTCCAACCTTAAAAGTTGGCTAATTCCACCCAGCGTCTTCCTTACTACTCCGCAGGATGAATCAGTATTCAATAAACTTAATAATTCTTAAACGTAATATCAACAAAAAGGTGCATCTTGAAGAACAAAATGTATTAAATTAAGTTCGAGTAGGGAGCTGCATCAGCATGCACAGGCTGCAAAGGATCTGGAACAGGTTTATTTCACACTGAAAAGAAAACAGACAACTTGGTGTCATCGGGTGACACTTGAAGAAGGCTCCACAACCGAAACGTTGTCTCTCTTTCTTTTTCAGCACGGAATAAACTTTTACGTGTATTACAGCCCATCTCCCCCTCCAATGACGGTTTCACATGACCGATTTACCCTGACAAAGCAGAAGAGGCCATGGAATAAAACTCACAGTTTGTAGCATTTCGGCGAGTCGCGGCAATGGATGGAGTAGCCCTCGCTGAGCCTGGTGTCTGAGGCCACGATGGCGAAGTCTTCTCCGGCAACTGCCAGCACAGTCCTGACAGAAGGAAATCAGAATCACTCCCAGGTATCGGCGCCGCCCTCCCACAAGACAGTGAACCAAAACACAAGAACAACAGCGCTTTCCGCCTCCCACAGTGGTCGCCATTTCCATTTCTTTTGTTGAAAGATGTTCAACTTCAACATTAAAGGCTGGAAAAGAGCACTGTATCTTTTATCGTGCAAACCCAAGACTTCACTTTTCCAAATATCTGACCCAAGGCATTAATTGAAAAAAAGGACCATAAACATCCAATACACAGTTTTCTTTGGTGCACGCTTCTCAGAGAACGACATTTTAAACACACTTCAAAGGGTACATATACATATGAACACATTCAGAACGACTTTCTGAAATCAAGACTTCGCCATGATCCACAGCAAAGTCGACCTAAAGATACTTTTTTCAAGAATGGGAAAGATTACGCCTCGTGGATTCAATTCAAAGTATTCCCCCTAAAGGAAAGACTAGTCGTCTACTGACGAGTGTTCATATGGCCCCTATATTCATAATTAAAAAAAAAAACTATGCCTTAGTCAAAATTAACCGAATTACCTTAGCACACACGTTAAAACAGTTTCCGGCTAAGAATGTCTTTATTTCAATAATCGGTTTCACTTACCCTCCGTTAAACGCGTATGGTGAAAATCTGTGCTCAACGGGTCCACTGTAATGATACTCCTTCATTTTCCCGTTTTCGCCGTACGTTTGTGCGGAAAGCATTATGATCTGCTTTTAAGAAAAAAAAACTGTTTAAACAAAGACACTATTTGTTTGCGCAAATAACACAACAGTTTTCTGTATCTCAACTATGCTGCATCACTGTAGTATGGCGGAACAGGAACCGGAATTACGTAACACTTTAAGCGGAAACAGTTCAATTCTGCCATCTAGTGTAAATCGCACGTTTTTACCAACTTCTTGTGCAGGAAACAGTTTTAGTTTTTCTAGTTGTGAAAACTGAGCATATTAACATTGACTTTAACACCTGCACTTCTGTGAGTCTGATAATTAACCAACTGAACATGTTTTTTCTCATGTCATCATTAAATAGATTTCTGGCATTCTGCTTTTGGTTAAATAAGAGTAGTTTGTATATAAATTGAACTTGTAAGGACATTGTTCTTAGAGTACTGAATAAAAATTAAGAAGTTGTATGATGGTAAATGGCATTCTCATGATGGCAACATTTTATATATATTTAATATATATATAGAGTGCGTGAAAGTTCTGTGTGCTTCAAATAATTTACACATTCGTTTAGGTTGTATTCAAATTCATTAAAAACATCCAAAAAATTCCCTCGGAAAACTGGTTTACAGAAATCTCATAGCATATAAAATTCACGTAATTTTCATATTGTTGATAATCTTACTGATTAGTTGTTCTGGTTTGTTCATTTGAAACTGTCCTTTTATTCTCATGTTGTAACGTGTATATATATATAAATGCTCTTGATTGTTGTGTTTTCTTTTGTATAATAACATTTAGAAAACATGTAGCTGTTCATAAATACATATATATAACAAATCTGGCATTGAGATTTTATTCAAATTCAAACTACTAGGGGGACATAAAAAGATCCTTAATATTTGGAGGAACCCAGGACCTATTGGGGTTTGGACAAGGAAAGAGATAGGGCTGGCCTAATTTAAGGCCGGGTTCTGTGATTGGCACAAGCCGAGAGGCAATAAGACTGCAGTGACTGGAAATGACTCAGTATCCTGCGCTCAGGACACACACACATTAACACACTCAGCACCATTCAAGTCGATTCCACACAGCGGCGCTACATCATTACTCCAGTTCCCGCTCTGGTAAAAGTGCTGGTGGAGTCAAATTTGATTTTATTTTAAAATGTATTTTTTAAACGTAAATATATAACATCCTCTTCACGTTGAGGGTGTGTAAACTTTCCACAAATGTGCGGTGTAACTACATTGTGCATTAAAACGCCACGTTAAGTACCCAGGAATCTGTTTTCTTTTAGAATAAAATGTTAATTTCCGAATGGACCATTATTTAGACGTAAGGAAGTTATTTAAATTATATAAACATCTATTAATACAACCGATAATACAATAAGATACATTGTATATGAGTAATATCATTAACCAGACCTTTGTTGAAGTTGCTTAGTAAATTGCTATTTCCTTACTGCTGAAACAATTGTTAATCGGTTGTAAATTATCTGTAGACAGAGGAATACGGTATATGAAGTCATTTGCATTTCTCTTTGCACTCAGCTACAGAGCTACGGTAATTCCGGATAATATGTGACATTCACAGAGGCACTAATGTGAGGTTAGTAGTGTTGTCCAGTCCTGCCTTAGGAAGTTCCTATTCTCACTAAAAATAAATATTGTAATGTAATATTACAGTGTATTTTTATTACTAACAACACAAATGTTCTGTTTTGAAACGTACCTTCCACGGTTTTTGTGTAAATAACTCCAGAACTGCTCATACGTAATAATATTTTACTATGGAACTTTACATTTTGAAAATTGTTTCTTCGTTTTGTTTCTTTTAATAACATTTCTTCCCCGTTGTTTATATGAATGAAAGAGTGTTTAATTTTTAATATATTTTATTAATATTTGTGCTTAGTCAAATGCTATATTAATATCCAGATGGACATAAGAATGTGAAAAAGGGGTCAATTGGTAATATATTAGTGCTTAGGATAATTTACCATGGCCTGGTGGTGTATATTTTAGATATTAAACACAACAGAGAGGCAATTTTCATACCCTTTTTATGATTCATTACCCCTTATTGGAGTTCAGCTGATAACCCAGATGCTTAATCACAGTTTCTGTAAAACAAAAACAAAAACCCTTCAAATGGCCGACAAATGCGTGGACTCAATTTTTCAGGGATTAGACCAGAACAATCATATCAAATAAAATCTTTTTTTTTTCCCCATTTAATTTCTTGGAGGTGATCAGCTGACAGCACAGAGATGTCTTGTCCCCGGGGGATTAGAATCTTAAGTCTATGGTTATGGAGCAGTGCCATCTGTCACCACACACATTCATATACCAACCAGAAGGCACCGACATTTGTTTATTTAAATGGAAAACTTAACTTTCCCAGGACAGCGTGACCCTGCAGCCCCCCGAAAGAAATACTGTCTGCATGTGAAGCAGTGAACCAGAAACAAAACTGAATGTTAATTGCTGTGTAGTGAGCTATCTTCACATGCAATGATGGATTCCTTTCCAGCAGCTGAATGTCACGTCAGTGGAGGAGGCCTTAATCATCCTGTTGTGGGACAGGCCCTGCCGCCGAGCGCTGAGGCGGTGGCCCTGGGGTCGTGAGGGCTGGGATCGGTGTCCACTCACTGGCACGGAGCTCCCTTCCCATATCTCCGAAGTGAGCTTCCACATCCATTACGGAAGTGGTCTGGAAAGTCCAGCCGCTTGAAAAAGCGCCGGTCTAGATGCCTTGTCTAGACAGGCAGTTTACTGTACATCCAGAGTCTGGAAGGGGATGACAGCAGTCCAGTTCAACTCTCCTCCGCTGCCCTGACTTGTAATCATCCCTGACATCATTTCTTGGATTTAAAAAAAAAACAACTATAATACTAAATGCATTCGTCTTGTGCATCCCTCCTCCACCTCCCCTCCTGCGCAGCTGCCTGTTGAGTCACTCCCCGCTCTGCAGGGGGGTCCCAGCGGGTTGAGCCGAATTTACTATAACTAAACACTCTACAAACAGTTTTCAGTCCATGTCATTCCGGGGTATTTTTTATCCCTCATGCACTGCATTTTAATTTGAGGACAGGTCAAAGACTATGTATAAATGCTCTAAAAGATTTAAGTCATTCATGCGAAAGTAGTCACGAGTCATAATCACATATTTATGTCAACAATTCTTCATAATTGGGAAGCACTTTGGGATTGTTTAACTTATAAAATCAAGTCTTTACTCATACTGCGTCAATGCACAGATATTTGTAAAAACAATTACGAGTCTTCTGGTTGTTCAAAGGGTGCTTTTTATTTCTTTATAAATAATGTAATCACCGCAACGTGCTACACGGGGTACCATTCATATGATCGACAAAAATGCGCAGTTCCATGGCTGTAAAAATGTCACCAATAAAAACACTATATAAAATATAAGCAAGCACGATTTCAGAATTTTACATGTTATTCATTGCTTATTATCCGCTGAACAGACATATACACACCGAGATCTTTACTGGAACACATATCTCTGTGTGGGAGCTGTAACATGCACTGTGTCAGGCAAACTAAAGTAAAGACTTAAAGCCATTTCAGGTTTCAGTAACTTTAGCAGGACACCAGAAGGTTCAGACCTTTGTCCACAGTCACCCAGTGTGAGAAAGAGCTGGCTAATAAACTGAAGTGGAATGCAGAAGCTCCTAAGAATAAACACTAACAAATTTAAAAGGTAAATGAAAAAAAAAACCCTCTTAACTCAAAGAGTTTGGTTTTAATGTGATATCTTGGCTTTGCAAAGCTGTCATTGCATTCTTGAAAATAATGAGGAAACAAGCCTCCACAGATCTCAGGAATACAATGCAAACAGATGTAGTAGTGTTAAGGGTCATACTAATGGGTGATACAGCTGAATTGTGTCTTTAAAGCCAGCAAATGTTATTTTGTTTTGTTTGGACTTATTCAAGGGTGTGATTCAAGGGCCCATTGATGTAGCTGCATTCTTTTTTTAAGTTGGGTGGGGCTTTCTTGAAAATTTACATATCCTAGGAAGCCAACTAAGCAGAATTGCTGAAAAATATCCAATGTGTCACATACAGTAGGTGTGGTGTGATCACATAACGTGATAAAATTTCTCAAGGGTCACAGAATTAAAAAAAGTAAAACCATAGTGAACTGTTACTCCATAATCCATATAGCCCCCAATACGGGTATTCAAATACAATAAATATATATATAAAGTACATATAAGAAGTCAAAGACAAAAGTATGCACCTTTCTTACATATTAATGTTGGAACTGTGTGATGAAATTGTAATTCATTTTCCATAAAACCTGGGTACTGTGTCACTTTTGAGTTTAATAAGGCTCCATGACAGACAGAATGAATAATCTTTTAAGCACATACTGAAAGTCCAAAATAATGATGGAGGTCTGCCTCCACTGCCCAGTGTCCTAATCTAAAGACTTCATTTCCGAGCTCTCTTGTGTCTACTTTGGGGGTCCGGCTTTTATTTCCACCACATCTAACAAACTTTTAAGCCACCTCTTCCTGAGCCGCTGCCACCAAACGGCTCTCAGCCAGTCGCCACTCTTCCCAGTGCCTTTCGGAGGATGGCCGCTGTGGTTTGTTTTGCTGTGGCGGCTGCACGCATGACTGAGCTCGGCTTTGAAGATTACAAGGTGTTTCATGGAGAAGGCAGCACTGGCGCAGTCTGAGTACAGTACAGTAGTCTGAAGAGCACATTAGCTGTGTCCCACTTGGGATTTGAACCCACAACCCAGTCTAGAGTTCTAACCACTCATCCATTCTGCCACCTTTTCAATCGTTCTAAGGAAAGGGGTTGTCATTTATATAATACACACTGTAGGACTAACTAACTAAACTCAGACATTTAAGGTCAGCAGCTATAATCCATTGGGGCTTATATAGTCAGAAACACTGTTCTGTGCTTGTTTTTGCATTAAAGCTGTCACTCTGTGGCCCCTATATGCTGTGTATACAGTCTTTAATGACACCATCCCAATTTCTCAAGCCACCCTTTTGTCACACGTTTAGCCACAAACAAGACAAATGGGCTCCATTTCAGCCTCGCGCCTCCTGATGTCCAAGTGGAGAGTAGCTGATACAATGGGGCCTGGCTCTTGGCACGGGGGATTAGCTACTGG